GGCTGGGGATTCGAACCCGCCACCTTAGGTGTATGTGGCTGGCGCCTTAGCTGCTTGAGCCACAGGCGCCGAGCCTATAATGTCACTTTTATACAACAGGTGATTTGATCTAAACACTAAGTTTTTTCAGGAGTCAGAAACCTCAGGGAGAATCTGATGGAAGCAATGGTAACTCTCCACAGAAAAAATACATGAACTCTGACGCACAATCTCAGGGCCATGCAGAAATGCACAGAAGCTTTTCTAGGGGTCCTCCACTTAAGAACTCCTGCAGGGACCTGGTAAGAGTTCATCTTATAGCTGTATCAGCGAGCCACATTTAGTGCCTGTGTCATCTGAGACTACGATGTTATTACCTAACACACATGCTGCTCTCTAGGACAGCTTCAAATAACTTGAGTTCTATCTCCTGCCCCCTTTACTCAATGAGCAGCGGCATTAGCTGGGAGCTTGTTAGACAGGCAGAACCTCAGGCCCAACCCATGGTTCTACAAAGTGCTTCTCAAACTCCCATGCATGCAGATCACCTGAGATCTTGTTCAAATGCAGGTACTGATTCAGTCGGTCTAAAATGAGGCTCCAAACGGGGTCCTCAAACTTTTTAAACAGGGGGCCAGTTCACTGTTCCTCAGACCGCTGGAGGGCCAGAGTGCGGGCCCCGGGACTAGTCGGCTGCTAAGTAGGACAGGCAGCAGCCGCAAAAACACCCAGCGGGCCGGATAAATGTCCTCAGCAGGCCACATGTGGCCCGCAGGCTGTAGTTTGAGGACCCCTCCTCCAGATGCTGCATTTCTAACAAGCTCTCCAGTGAGGCTAGTGGGGCATGGTCCTTAAATTCTGCTCTGTGTTGGAATTATTGGACAATCTTGTTCTTACACTTTCCTCTGTGGCAGAACCTCCGGGATTGCTGCATCCCTAGTTTCTAACTCAGGAGTTATGGGTAAGGTTCAGGAATGTACACTCCTAATCAGTTCTCAGAAGTGGGTAAAGTTGCTTGTCTGGGCACCACTGAACGTTGACAGCTACTGCTATACACTTTGATCTGTGAGTGTAACATTAACTTAGGCTCTGAGTCAGTGCACCTCTAGGCTCAGAGTGTGCTCTGTACTAGTCACTAAGTGTGGCCACTTAACCAGGTCAAGTTTCTCTAATTGCTTCAGTATTCAGACCCTATTTTCCCCTCTTCTCCGAAGGAAATGACCACTGCATGCTTGCTTGCTTGTTTTCCTGGCCTGCTCTTCCTAGAGTCCAACAACCCTAAGGAAAAAATGAAGTTCCTCTGACACAAACGGTTGTAGTGAAACTCTGGGACCTCTTGCTAATCACTGCATCTTCCTCCAACGAGCCCACACCTCTGTCCTCAGCTGCTGAAATCAGAGCTGCCTGAAAGCTTCTCTCTGTTGGCCTCACCTATTCCTATGGCTTCCTCACTCGTTTCTCTTTCCTTAAAATATACTCTCACGGCTCAGCGCCTATAGCTCAACCGGCTAAGGTGCCAGCCACGTACACCTAAGGTGGTGGGTTCGAATCCCCAGCTCGGACCCGCCAAACAACAATGATGGCTGCAACCAAAAAAAAAATAGCCGGGCGTTGTGGCGGGCACCTGTGATCCCAGCTACTTG